AATTAACATCACAACTGAAATCTACTTCATTCCATGACAAAACACCTGTCACGGAAGTACAGGTGACTCTCGATGACTCGAACTCCGATCTCTCGAAGTTCTCGATCTCTCGAAGTAAACCTCCGGTCCCGTTTTTTTCTTCTATATAACTAAACAAATTTACTTCCTATCTCTCGAACTTCCAATCTCTCGAAGTTCTCTATCTCTCGAACCAAGACCTGGGTCCCGTTACACACATTTCATTGTTTTTACTCTCTATCTCTCGAAGTTTTGATTGCGCGTGTGCACACGCCGATCAAGCATAAAATTAATGCAGCTTAGACTTACCTGGATAACAGTGAACGCCTCGGGCTGGCATGGAGGTGTTAATTGGGTGTTTACATAGATGACACTATACCTGTGAGCATCCGAGTGTTGATATAATTAATTGGTTACAAACGAATTGCTTCACAACTTATTTTGACTTGACAGCGAGACGATAATTTTTAGAAAATAATTTAAGAGACATGTCAATAATTTTTCATAGATTATGAAGTTTTATTAGAGTTTACATAATCCCAGTATGACAAACACTGCACAAGAAATCCTATCTGAAGAACTGAATACCCATTTAATACGAGAAATCTGGTGAAGGACCCGATGAAGCCCTGGGGGTAGCCACACCGACGATTGCTATTCAGGTTTCATGTAATTATGAAATGAGAACAATTAAAAACTGAAACTTAAAGAGATCGTTTATTTATTCAAAATACGATCATTGTTGTTGAAATCAAGTGAATTACCTGTAAAATACTAATGAAAACGTGCAATGACATTATCGACATATACTTCCGGTATTTATAATAGTAGAACAATGATGATCGGAACTGAAAATTCCGGATTTTATTCACTTTCTGTCTCTCAAACCCCTCGATCTCTCGAACTTTTCTTGCGGTCCCTTGAACTTCGAGAGATCGAGAGTCACCTGTATTAGATAATTATCAAAATGAGCAGGAATGGTCAGGTTGTGGCTAATAGTAGGCCAAGTCACAGATGTCTAGACGTTCGGATGGTTAAGACTTGTTTCCAATGTAAATTTAATGTAACAAATAAAGATTTTTCAAGTTAAATTCATGAAATTAAGGCTTAAAATAATGTAAATACCCGACCCGAAAAACCCAAACCGAACCAAAAATTTACAGAACCGACCCGACCTGAAAAATTTTGGAACTGTGACAGCCCTAGTTCAACGCTTGTCCAATATATCCATCAGATTATTTACATATAAGTATCAGTTTATTCTTAAATAATTTAATTTTAGTTGTAACACGTCATTTGATTGGATAAAAGATTTTGTTTATATTGTATAACATAAGTTGCCTACATCACAATGAGTTACGTCAAAAACGTATTACTCCGCTTGATGTTACTTTTAAAATATATGCTCAATTTGAAGCCATTTTTGGAGGGAAAAATTGTCTTATTCTCTACACTGAAATTAAATTATAAAGAATATTAAGCGTAACTGCCCCAAGTTATGTTATATCGTATAACATTAGGTTAAAATAAGCTTCATTCCTTAATTAATCTAGACTATCTATTTTATTCACAATATAAGACAGGCTTGTCCCTAAGACCTGGGGGGCTGGGGAATTTCCCCGCCTATAATGATGTAATCCCTGGTTTTTCTCCTCGAACCCCTTTTGGAAGGAACCGTAGACCCCCTTCTACTTTTTTAAAGTCCCCTGCTATTTTGATTCTTAGGGACAACCCTGTAAGATGAAGCAGGTAATATAACCCTATTGTCATGATTACAGGAGGGGATCTCCCATAAATCACTTGTTTGTAAAATAACACACAGGTAGGACAAGCATGTTATATCATCATTAGACATTACGATTAAACGACAACACAAAAGTGAAATGCAATGAAGCTTAACTTTGTCTGTGTGTACCATGTTATGTAAAAATCATTGCTCTACGAGCATCATTTATACACAGAGCTTTAAAATTTCCTTTTTTAAATAGAATCTGCTTACAACTTTTAAGTAAATACAAGGCATCATTATCAATATGCTGATCCTTAATATGGTTTAAGCATGTGCACTGCATGGATGAAAGTAAAAAAAAAAGGCATTGTCATAATTCATTTAGCACTAAATACATTTAAAAACACAATTCTTCATATAATTGTTTCTGACATCTTACATATGTCAAATCTAACTCATTATTAGTATTAAATACAACTTACTTTAAATGTATCTTCCAACTTTTTAGATACATGTACAAATCCCCCCCCCCCCCTCCCAAAAATAAATCCTTTAAATAGGAGTGCACACCACGAGTGACAGTGATTTACATTATTTGCAATTTAATTTACAAACTGTATTTGCTATTTTTCACCATAAGTTGACAGAAAAATCTTATGTGTACAAAACGTAAACATTTGTCACGTTCAATAACTGATCGCGCTTCGTGGGCCTTATTTTCACTTGGTCCGTTCTCACCTTACCCTTTGATTTATGGGAACAGGCCGACTCCGTCTCTTCAGAGTCGGGGATCGAATAATCCTCCTAGAGATGTCCATCTTTAATTTTCTGCGGGGACATGTTCACATCGAAATGTCCACTAACACGGGTTGTGCATAACAATGAACACAGATCTTTACTCCATTGCAGTTTTGAATCAGAAACCATGCATGCTACGTCAAACAGGCGCTTGTAACCCATGTTTTCATTGGATGATATAAATTGCATGCTTTATTTTTATTTAAATATTTCAATTTTTATTCAGAAAAGGCATTTATAAGGGATTTAAATAAATAAATAAAAGATTCACTAAAGGATTAAATACATATTTAATAAATAAATAAATTGGGGTCTCTCTGTGGAAAAAAATCAAACAATATTATGTTAATCAAATGTTTCTTTGATATATTTCATAATTTATTTATTTATTTTTTATGAGAAAAATAAATTTTTAATACTTTTAGAAATCTTTTTCATCTAACGTAAATGCTCATAAAGAAATTTGCCTGCGAATTTTTCTATTTATTTTAATCAACATTTTTAAGTAAAGACATAACAGTTATATAAACAAGGCTTAATAAATGGACAGGACTGACATCAGGCTTTTTCATTATTCCTCTTCAAATTTTCCGATCATTCCTTTTTATTTCAAATCAATTTCACCTATGTTTGTTAAGGAGAGAGAGAGAGAGAGATTCGGAGAGAGATAGAGAGATCGCCGAAAAGGTTCAGTTTTCAGTATAAGGATGTCAGGTTTTTCCTGCTGTGGTGTTATTTATATCTCTTATAATAACGATTCTCTTGATGAAATTTATTAAATCAAGCACATTAAAGTAATAAACATGAGGGTGGGGTGGTTTGGCGATATCGGCAACCGGTCTTAGATATGGCAAGAAACTTTAATAAAACAAAAATATGACTCCCCACCCACCCCACTACTTGCCATGCTTTTTGCTCTCTAACAGCAGAAGAAAAAGAAAATTTAGGGTCGCAGTCTCGAAAATTTGATTCGGTTTCTTTTTATTCATTACTTTCATTTTCATTTATTCGTTTATGTTTTATTTCATTATTTCTGACCCCTACACCCTCCCTTTTCAAAAGAGAGGTTGAAATGCCCTGAATGAAAAATTAAAATCTCATTCTAATTTTAAACCATTCAGGAAATCCTTTTCAGACCCGTAGCAATAGTACGTTAAAAGTGTTTGTGTGGAAGGGGGGGGGGGGGTCCCACAAAATCTGACAAGCTAAAAAAAATTGAACTATCCAATCTCAAAAATCCTATCTCGTGGATGTTGGGGTTAAGGGGGTTGGACCTTTCTCTTACTTTCTGGTACATTTTTTCCTAGTCCTGGATTTTGCCAGTCCTCGACCTTACAGCAACCAAAAAGTGGCTTTGATTGAGTTCACTCTAAACAACTCCTAATAAAATTAAATCTGGACAGCAGCAATTTTTCACAATTTCATGGAATGTCAGGCCCGTAGAACGCGGAGGAGGGGGTCTACTTTATTCTGGGGATATAGTATTTTGCTATTTTTTTCCTTTAGATGCTGATTGCCCTCCCCCCCCCCTTTTGTTGTTGTAAGGTCGAGTACTGGCAAATTCCAGGATTTGGACAGTATTTTTTCTTCTTCTTTTGCTTGTCAGATAATTTTGGGAATCCCCCCCCCCCCACACACACACTTTTGAAACCTTTGCTTCGGGCCTGCATGTTATTCTGATATAGTAGTATGATTTTTTAAATTATTTCAACATTGATAAAATATTTAGAATTTCTTAATTCGATGGTTATTTAAAAATATTATTTATTCAGTTTCATTTCATTATTGAAAAAAATTGAGCCCCTTATATGTTGACGTACTCGATAAATTCAAAAGAGAGAATTTAGCAAAATATTTTGAATGTAACTTACGCAATACAATCAAAACCGGCTTTCAATATCCGCAGTGAAGATCGAGACGTTTAATATTATAGAAATCAGAGATTGGTTTCAGTTAAATATTATAATAATATATAATTAAGCAGTTCGACCATCATGTCTTGAATACAAAACACACCACACCTTAAAATGTAGAGAATGTCCCAAGGGAATAGACGGAAATTAAGAATCCACATAAATATATAGGTTATTCAATTTTCTAAGAAAAAGTGTCTAAATATTAAAGTACCTCTTTTTTAGTGTCTGAATTAGCCTCTATTCTATCACTTCTCTTCATTTCTCATCATAATATCCGTGTAGGATAAATATCATATGTCATACCAGCTAACTGTCCATGTATCAATAAATAAATGTACGTTAATAACAGAAATATTTTTTTTTTTCCTGGGGCTACGACACCGATATCCGGATCGATATTTTCCATACCATGGTGGTTTACTTTTAGTTTTTCTGATCAAGATCGTCTGTGCGTTTCATGTATAAGACATTTATTAACTCGTATTTACTAACAAATAAGGACTGTGAGTGAAAAAATGAAAGTAGGCATGCAGCGTTTCTAGAACGTAAACAAACAACTGTGAACTGAGAAGAAATGGCAGGCTTCTTTCAGCGAGATCTGGATGCTGATTACTTTGTAGATGATGACAGCGACGTTGAAAGAGGCAGCAGGTCTAATTTGTTTGCTATCTTAGTCGAACGTTCAGAAACGCACAAGTCACTGTACTTCTCTATTTCAAATTCACTTTTTCACGTACGTGAAGTGAATAGGACTAAGTAACGTAATGTGTTAAAGTGCATTCTATCCAAATATTGATGAAGTAACCATTGGGGCGAGCTCAGTTGCATATAATTTAGTATGTTTTACAGTGCCACCATTGGCATTGAGGCGAGCGCAGTTGTGTACCATTAAAAAAAAAAAAAACTTTACATAGCTTACACTTTAAACTTTGATCCGTGCCTCCTCAAACTTCAAATTCGCACGAGACAGTCTAGACTGTGACGTCACATGACATATTATGTAAGTTGCATTTAGATAGGACTTTTGCAATTTTGTAAAAGAAAGGCATTGTAAAGTAGATTTTTTGTTTCGTTTAAGCTCTCTGCAAGAACTAAATCTTATACATGATAACTGTGGGACTGTATATTCGCCATTATGGAATCCTGGTAGCGAAGGATATTTTGGGAAGGTTGCACAGGAAAATTTTCCTGACAAATATACAGATTTCTTTGCAAATTTCCTCTTTAGTCTATTGAGCTCGCTATTACTGAATACCTGTTTTACACTTAACATCCGCCTTTCCAAACTGCTCAAGACATTTAGAAAGTCTTGACTGTGACATGACCTCATTTGTTAGACCTAATTGCATTTCTATAATGAAGTCTAAAAAAAATAAAGCAAAAATTTTACAAATAACATTTAAAATGTTTAACGGTGCAACCGATGGGGCGAGCAGAGTTGTATACCATCAGAAATCTTAAACTTACACTTAAAAGCATTATTTGCCTTGTTCATGTTGATCTTCAAACTTCAAACTGCATGAGACCCATGGCAGTCTAGTCAGACACAGACTTAAAAAATAAAGTCATTAAAGATAAAAAATAAAAAAGGACTTAAAAAGACTAAAATTGCACAGCAATGACTCTGCAAGTGAATACACATTCATTCTTTTAACTTACATTCAATTATACATTGGAAAGAGAGACCATTGCATGTACATGACATCATTTGATAAACTTATCTAGGAAGTTTATATTGATATACAAAGCTTCTTATTCAGGTGCAACATGTCTTCACAAAAAAAGATATAAAGAGAATGTGCTTAATAACTATCTGTTGAAATTTTAAATTTAATTTCTATTGAGATCTTCACCTGTAAAAACTCAATCATCAGTTTTTTGAGTTTGATTTTATTTGAGATGTGAGAATCCTCAAATTTGCTTTCTCATAGTTTAGTTGTTAGACCTTTATTTTGCAATTAGGGCTGCTTGCTGAGATGACTATAAAAATTTCACCCTTTAAAGAAACAATTTTTTCTATTTTCTTTTACAGTTCAGATGATGAACTTGATTTCACTATCCACTGTGCCAATCAGAAAAGGGTGCGAGTCAGGCATAGCTCCGTGTCCAGTAAAGGCTCGTCAGCTGAGTCTGATTTTGAGAAGGAGATGAACGAGGAATTAGATCGGAGAGTTACAGCTCTGGAGGAGGCTCGGAAATCAGGACAGAAGATGTTGTCAGGTAGGTATTCATCATCATCCAGAACGTAAAATCTGAAATAAGGACAAAAAAAGCCAGGTTATTTTACTCAAACATTCAAGTAGTGTGAATTTACATGTATTATCAGACGAGGAAAATATTCAAATTTTGACAACAAACTACAAAAATATTTAACTTGCAGTAAAGTATTAAAAATATTAGTGAAAAATTTACACTAGAGCAGGACATGGCTATAATTCCAACCAGCAGCATCACTGATGATCTGATTTTTTTAGTTTCATAAAGAATGGAGAGAATAGTTTATAATTTAAAAAAAAGTTTGTCAGCTGTTTCTTTCTGATTTTCTTAATCCTTTCTATTATTTAGGAAGTAAGAATGGAGAGACTTCAGAACCAGGATGTTCTAGTGGACCGTCTAAACAGGACAATGGTTTTAATGATGACGTCTATTTTGACTCGGATGAAGAGGAAATGATTAAAGGGGGTAATGTGGAAAAACTATAATTGAATAAAGAAGGAGGGAGGGAAGGGAGGCGTCCTCATGTACATTTCAATCTAAAACTATTCCATATTGTTGAAGATGCATGTACACTAGTTTGCACTGGAATTAAAGATGTTTTTTTTATGATGAAGTAAAAGTTGAAATTTAATAGTAGAAAAATGTAGGACAAAGAAGAGAACATTTTTAAAATAAAAGAATTCAAGTAAACTGAATTAAAGGCCATTTGACTTTCTACAGTATTCATATTTAAAGATCTCTAGAGAGACCACTTATGGCTGAAAATAGAGGAGGATCCCATTTTCACCAAGAAATAAATATGAAAAAATTCTTGGAATCTTTTCAAGTTTCACCAGTCTGTAAAAGAGATTTACGTTTTGTGTAATTTAGATTAAGTTTGTGGATCCCCCAACTTTTTTTTCTCCACATCTCCCATTAATAGAGACTGATGCAGTAGAGAATTAAAATTTTAAAAGAAGGAGATGGAGAAATCTTTCACTACTGAGCTGTTAGCTTACTGTAAGAGATTCAACTCATACACTCAAGTCAAGGATAGGTCATATTAGGGTGTCAGAGCTTGATGGATCATTTTTTTTCTGTTTAAAAATCATATACGTGTATTCTTTGATCCCAAACAATTTTTTTTGATTTTCAAACTTAACATATGAAATTAAATTTATTTTTTTAATACCACAGGAGACAAGAAAAAGAGAGAGAAAGCTGAGAAGTTGACAAATGATGACCTTTTATATGACCCTGATCAGGATGATGATGACCAGCGGTGGGTGGACAATCACCGGCGGTCACTCATGGCCAGGGACAGTAAAGCTCCCAGAAAACTGCCCACTAGTGATGCTGTACTAGACTGTCCAGCCTGTATGACCACACTGTGTCTGGACTGTCAGAAGTAAGTGTATTATTACAGGCAAAACCTACAGATTAAATAAGTTTCAATCATGGGTCACTGTAACAATTTTAACATTTATAACACCAACATTAAAATAAGGTATTTCAAATGAGTAGATCTATTGTCTTTAGCTCCAGAACTGTAGCTCTCTGGTCTGGGACAGAAAATTCGGACAGACATATCAGAGAGCTACATATCCAGCCATTGTAAAAACCTTCGATTTACTACACCGTTTTTTCCTCTCATGCTTGGATGGATCTGTATCTGTATGTCTGTCTGAATTTTCTCTCCCAGAGAGTTAAAGTTCTACAGGGTATATGTTGTCCTGTAATAAATAATGTGATGAGAACTTCTCATTTACAATATTTTGTTGATGAAGATAAATCACCACATAGCCCTACTTCAGTTTAATAAAAGAAATAGAGTATTAACAGGTAACGGCTAACATATTTAAATGAATTTTTTTTTAATAAGATAGGGACTTACATTGATTCAACCTGTATTGTGCCCACTCTGTTCATTAAATTTTATCAATTAAAAAGAAAAAAATTTCTCCTCTCTTGTAGAGAAGATCATTTTTTTATTTTGTTATTTTTTTGACAGACATGAAAAGTATCACAACCAATATAGAGCCATGTTTGTGATGAATTGTCATGTGGACTTTAGTGAATTACTGAAACAACCTCCACAGAAAAGCAAGAAAAGGAAAAGACAGCAGAGCTCACAAAGTAGTCAGCAGGAGGAGAGTTCCCAAGAGAAGGAAGAAAAGCTACATCCTGTGAGGTGTACAGAATGTAACACAGTAGTGGGCGTGTTTGATAAGGACGAGGTGTATCATTTCTTTAATGTTCTTGCGGGTCACTGAAATTATGTGGTTTAGGGAACAAGAGGTCACTTGCTTGGAATTCATTCTGACATTGACCATTTCAGAACATTCTGAAAAAAACTTCTGTTCAGAGAATTTGGCTTATAATAAGATATACTTCTGAATATGAAGGTCATTTGTCAATGGTGCCAGGAACGTGTTAGAATGTTACTTCCCTTTGATATGTTTGAGAGATGGCTCAATATTTTCAGAACTCCAATTACTGTGGAGATAAAGTCAGTAATTCAAAATGAAATTGTTTCCATAGATTAGTAACAACTTGAAGAGTTTAAAGCTTTGAATGCTTAAAAGCCCAGACTTGGAATAGTAGCTAGTTCACTAAGTCAAGTTTTCATTTGTATAATACATGTATGTGTAAGATGTCTTATTTTGATTGCAAGTTTTGATGAATTATAAAGCTTTTCATTTCTTGATTACATTTTACTATAATTGTTTGTGAAGAAATTCACCATTTTCAGATATATATATATAAAATAAAAATTGTTGAAACAGGCATCATTTTATTTTAATAACAAAGTTGTAGGGGAAATACTGAATTCATCATGTCTGTCTGTCCAGCTGTATGTCTTTAACAGCATTTAGGTCACTGTTCAGATTATCTGATAGTGGGGGGCCAGAAAAAATAATTGGCAAGATCTTGGGGGGGGGGGAATTAACAAGCCAAGAAAAAAAGGAAAATTGACCTAACAAAATCTATTTAGAAGGTCCCAACTTTCCTGAAGAGAAAATATTTAGATAGTATTACATTCATTTACCATATTGCAACAAAAATTGGGTGAAGGGGTAGGCAACCAGTCTTTTAATGACAATCTCCATATCAATTCAATAGCAGCCCACCATCCCCCCTCCCCAGTACTATGTGCCTGCCTGAGACAGCTACCAATTTAATAGCAGCCCACCATTCCCCCTCCCCAGTACTATGTGCCTGCCTGAGACAGCTATCTTCAATTTTTCTGAAAAGAAAGAAATCACATGAGTGTGAATTGCTGTCATGTTTAACAAACTCAGAAATAAACATGTTCACTTTCTTACGCCCTGCATTTTACCCCTCACGTTGTTGTCATTACATCCTGGGTGTACTCTTACCTTTAGGGTTAGAATTAGCAAGTGACACCATCAGTGAGCCACAAAGGAAGTCAAGTACATGTATTAGTTATATTCAAACTTATTTTACTCTAAACCTTGCTAATGCATGAAGAGGATTGTAGAAACAGGGATGTAATTAAAATCATAAATCCCACTTTATTATCGAGATATGTAACTATAACAGGTGCCCTATAGTCTTTTCTTTTCGTTTACCTAGACACTGAAAATACATAAGTTTGTGATTTCTTTGAAAAAATTAGTATGTCAAAAATCGATTGAAAATTTGACACTAAAGAATCTTGAGGCGGCAGAAGAAAACATTGACTTCACTTTTCGGATTTAAAGCCCCCCGCCCTTCAAGTTTTTCTGTCCAAAAATATACATAAGATTAATAAATTAATTATTTGGGTGTGGGATATTGCATTAATTATACCTATAAAATATAGCAAAAATAAGTCCAAAAAACTGTTCCAAAATACTACTAAAACCCGAGAACTTTAGACCCCCAACTGATCGCCCCCTTTTTTTTTCAAGAATGCTGGGTCTTTAGATAAACTTGCAAGAAATTAGTTACTTCTGACTATAAAATACCTCAAACGCATTTAGTATGAATAAAAACATGTACTACCTACGTTAAAATGAAGTTGTTAGTGAAAACTTACTTCTATATAGATATATATATTACCTAAATCAAACCTACTAAACTTGCATCCATCTACTTTTAAAAATATGACTGTGAACATACATCTAAGTAGTTCTAGTTAACTGTAAACTTACATCATAAGTACTAGTACATGTAGTTCTAGTTAACTGTAATCTTACATCATAAGTACTAGTACAGGTAGTTCTACTTAACTGTAAACTTACATCGTAAGTACTATATAATACAGGTAGTTCTACTTAAGGTCAAGATCTAGTAAATGACTTTAGACATCTTTTTGGTGCTAGATCCATTATGACGTCATAATCAATTTTAACTTTATTTTTCCCGTACTTTACGGCACTAATAGAATTATGTAGAAAATAAATTACTTTCATGGAATTCAATTTGAAATCATGTGAAAATTAATCCCGATACCTATATTCAATTTGACTTTATTTTAAAGAAGAGGCTAGGAACACACAAATTACCACTTTCTGAGAGACTGTAGGCAATCTGGATACCTTCCATTTGTCTGATATGGAAAAAAACTCCCATATTCGTGACTGGTTTTCTTAATTTTTCATTGAAAATGACAGTTTAAAATATGATTTTTCGTCTCGTTTATCTACAAATTATGCCCCGATACACCTTATTTGACCAAGCTATAATTATAAAGTATCATTAAAGGAATTTATTTCTCAAATTTGAGAAATCTGTAGGCTCCTTTCATTTACTAGATCTTGACCTTAACTGTTAACTTACATCATAAGTACTAGTACGTGTAGTTCTACTTAACTGTAAACTTACATCCTAAATACTAGTACGTGTAGTTCTACTTAACTGTAAACTTACATCTTAGGAGTTAGAAACCCAACTAAGCCGTTAATTACTAAGTGAACAAGTTGGAAAAAATAGAGAATGGTCACATATACACAACATATATTGTTGGAATTTAACCTTTAATACTATTATAAGATGTCATGCTCCTCAACAGAAAACAATAGAAGTATAACAATAAACTTTGTCATCCGTTGTTTTACAACATGGGTTTGGATTCATTGACATCCAGACCCAAGTACAAAATAGCACACCAACTAACCCTATTAAAGTTTGTACATAACTCCATATTGCAAGTAGATACTAGTAAATTAGTTATGTTAATTAATACTTGATAACATTTTTAACGTAAAATCTATCATTGACAGTCCTTTTGGGTGTACATGGGTAGTACCTATATTACTGAACCTCTCGAAGAATACACTGATTAACACGTTTCTGAGCTCTGGATTCTTTTTGCAATAATATGACGATACTTTTCTCTCTTGTGTCACATTTTATTGCAGATCTTCTTCTGACTAAAAAAGGTAAAGCAATGCGTCGACATAAACGTTTTCATTTTCTTTCGTTGCAATGTTTATGTGTTTTAGCAGTTCATTGACAATTTTAAAGTGTGTTTTCTTTGGATATCTACAAGCAGATGGGGTACCTACCTGTCAGACATTTTCTTCAGTTCATTTTCTTTTCAGAACAAAATATGATCTGTTCTGGATGTCTTAGCAAGGTCTATCGCTGTGAAGGCATTTTCATATATATGTTGCTCATAGCATGTATATTTAATTCTTATGTCTTACTTCAGATTTTGATCGACAATTCCAGATCGACTGTCATCTTTTAACTTTGAAATGTCTTTTCTTCGTCCAGTTTAACACTGTACTAGGCGTGAAAGAGTTTTATCAGGACCATGCTTATCTTCATGCGTGTGCAGTGATTTTTGTAATGAAGCACGGTTTTAACATCCCTTTATCAATTTTCTTGACAGCTGAGACAATATCGTTTAGAGGTCATTTCTACTTAAAAGTGATTTTTTTGCGAAAACAGTAGGAACAAGAGGTTTGCCCCGACTAACAGGGGGGCAAAACTGAGGGAGGAGACCGGCTTGTCAAGGTCAGCTGACGAACTAGAAGGACTCGCATTTATCGTACAGGTCTTGAGTCACCCTTCTTAGAAAGAGACGGATGTTAAATATCTGTAAATATTCCTATTCACTTCCTAATAGTTTAAGTATAAATATTATTTTTATTACTGGAGCATGTTAGTAGTTGAAATATTAACATTGACTTATAGATTCGATGAATATGATTGCTGAATCTTGTAAAAACGAAATGTTATATAATAAAGGTCTAATACAATTTCGTATCTCGTCAAAAGCAGAGACGTTCTGTACGAAAGCTATGAATCCTAAAAAAAGCTGCTACAATTTTTTACGGAACAACTGGGTTCAACTTGCATAATTATGATCAAAGACCCTTTTGCATATAGATTATAATTTCCACCAACCGATTAATCAAGTTGCGTTTGAGTGCAAGTTTTCTTTTTCTATTCTAACAGTTTACAAGCATGTAATTTTCGGATATATACAGCTCAAAAAAAACTTTCTAACCTAACATGCTTTCGTGAACTAATTAATGCACATTTTAAAAGTAAAACGATTGCTACTTAACAAAAGGTGCAAACAAAAGATATGATGAATTTTGCAATTTTATCATAGTTTTTACATTCATAATTAAAATTTTCTTTTCTAGTGCATAGTTGCTAACCCTTTTGCACGAATAATATCCTTAATATAACTATAGGTTTGCCATGAATGAAGTTTTCACAGAGCCAATTTGGAATCAGTTGAGTACTTATAATTCCCTCTGGAGTATCTTCCATATAAACATATGTCTTTTTTAGCCATTGGCATGTTTTAAATAAAGTCTCCTTATTTCACCTTAATTTTCACCTTAATTAAATGTTTTAGATTGAATTTCAATCGAGAATGTTTTTCGGCTGTGTTTAAAAATGTAGAAAATGCACTGCGTTTTAGAATCTCTCTTGTGTTCATCAGAAGTTACTGAAAGATGTCAGTACCTTGTGTACTTGTTAACTATTTCCTAGAAAACGATTTGTATGTATTATTTAGTAGGATGCCATAACTCAAAAACACAATGGAGTTTCTCAGACGAAGGAAGAGTCCTGATTCAAACACAAATAAAAAGCATTTGGGGTCAAATAAAGGGGACTTATTGATCTTACTGATATTATGCCAATAACTTGTTAATAAAAAGAAATGTGGTAGGCACTCTAGCGAGAACGTAGCTCAGTTGCAAAAAAAGGTCTGTAAAAAAAATTAGTTCTTGATTAACATGCTTAAATGAATAAAGGCTGTTATTCGGTCAAAACGATGAGCAACTAAGTACTTCAAAGTAAATTACTAGTATCAAATAATATCAAAACTTAAATAGAATTGCAAAATTATCAGGTCTTTTGTTTGTACCTTTGATTAGTAGCAAAATATTTATTTTCAAAATGTGCATATATAATTAGTTCACAATTGCATGTTAGTTTAAAAAGTTTTTTGAGTTATATAGCAAAAGTATCTTGGAAAAACTAAGACGAATGCAACCCCCACCCCCCGCAAAAATAAATCAGGTAAGATATTGTTCAAGAATGCCATCTTTGTACATATAATTTTCTTAATGTTTTTCCAAAAAAAAAAAAAAAAAAAAAAAAAAAAAAAAAAAAAAAAAAAAAAAAAGAAAGAAAGAAAAATAGCTACTACAAATTATTTGAAAACATACATTTAAGCTCACCTGAGCCGAAGGTTTGGGTGGGGTCATTTAAAA